CATTGTGTCCTAGAGTCATTTACCAAATTATAACAATAAGGGCTTTAAAGATGAAATATAAAATTCAATGCCTTTTCCTTTTCTTTCTAGAGACCAAAATAAGTATTATGATTAATGTGTATGGTCCTAACATTTCTAGCTTAAGTTGAGTTCTTTCAAAGCTTATGCAAGCTTGAACTAACTCATTTTTAGCAAAGACTTCATATGTTAAATATATGTGTATTGAAGTTCAAAGTCTATTGCTAATGATGTAGGAGCATATGATGTATGATATGCATGGTCCTATAGAGATGAGCTTCAAATGAATTCAAAAATACTTTGACATTAAATCTTAAGCTCTCACCATCTTATCTACCCCTTTTCTTCATTCTTGACCATGATCGTTTAGGCTTGATGAAGACTTGTTTTCTTTCTTTGAAATGCTTGAATGATCTTTGAAGTTCGAGTTTTTCTTTGATTGAATATGCCTTTGATCTCTTGCAACTTTTAAGGCTTCCTTGAATCCATAGCTTGAGTATTTGTAATGCTTGGAATGGATCTTCTAGCTCAACATTGAGGATTGAATATTGATGAACTATATATCACTCAATTAAAACATTAGTACTTAAACATCATTAATGGTTTGTAATCATCAAAACATAAGATTGACCTTTAGATAAAATCCTTAGGCCAACAGCCACATCATCGCCTACTCATCGTCAACTCAGCACAGAAATAAGAAAAGTTTACTAAGCTACTTTATTTTTACCACAGGTACAAATGACATATACAAACATACTTATACCATATAATTTACCATATATCTGCCTTCTATCGCTCTCTTCCTCTGTTGCTCTTCTAAACTTCTCTTTTCAAAATTAAAGACCAAAAACGAGATCTCAAACCTCTCACGCACAGAGAGATGCAACCATGGCGGAAGTAGAGATGGAGTTCATCGTGGATTCAAAGGAGCACCATCTCTTCCTCTGTTGCTCTTCTAAACTTCTTCTTTTTAAAATTAAAGACCAAAAACGAGATCTCAAACCTCTCACACACACAGAGGTCCAACCATGGTGGAAGTAGAGATGAAGTTCATCGTGGATTCAAATGACAAAACCTCCTCTCTTACGATGCAGTGATGCATGAGTTTCGCGACACCAAGGCAAAGACCAATACCGATCTCAACCTTCCTGATCTCAACCTTCCTCTTCTCCTATAATTCACTTGATCTAGCCGGAAATATCGTCGATGCCGAAATTGCATCATCTGTTTCTTTTTTTCTTTTTCAAATAAAAAAAAAAATCATGAAATAGATAATATATATAATTACGGAGAAAATCTAGAGAGAGAAAACTATATTTTTAATCATATATATTACGTTTTTAATGTTATATTATTTGTTTTTTAATGGTAATAAATATATTATCTGTTTTTAATGGTTTCCAATTATGTTTTTAATGGTATATTATCTGTTTTTAATGGTAATATATATATATATATATATATATATATATATATATATATATATATTATATGTTTTTAGTGGTTTCCAATTACGTTATATTTCTGTTTTTTTTTTTCTTCTCTTGTATATATAAATATATTGATACATATAGTCATATATTATTTTTATGTGACTTGTATCAATAAAAATATGAATTAAATTCAATATCAAACAGATATATTTTAGAATGACATAAAAATGTAAAACATGTTAAATTTATGGATTAATTTTTTTCTTCCCAATCTTTGCGCATAGACATTTACGAATAACATTAGAAATTAAACATAATAAGTTTCAAACCTAAATTATATGTAACGTTTTAATTTACTTGTAACATATATCATATATTATTTTTATGTGACTTGAATCAATAAAAATATGAATTAAATTGAATATCAAACTAATATGTTTTAGAATAACATAACAACATAAAACATGGTAAATTTATGAATTTATTTTTTTCTTTTAAATTTTTGCAACTACACAAACAAACATATTTTACGAATAACATCATTAATTTAACATAATATATTTCAAACCTAAATTATATGTAACATCTTAACTTACTTATAACATGTATCATATATTATTTTTGTGTGACTTGTATCAATAAAAAACCGAATTAAATTCAACATCAAACAAATATTTTTTAGAATGACATAACAACATAAAATATGTTAACTTTATAGATTAATTTATTTCTTCCAAATTTTTGCACTTACACAAATAAACATATCTTACGAATAATGGCAGGAATTAAACGTAATATATTTCAAACCTAAATTATATGCAACATTTTAACTTATTTGTAACATGTATCATATATTATTTTTATGTGACCTGTATTAGTAAAAACATGAATTAAATTTAATATCAAACAAATATGTTTTGGAATGACATAACAACGTAAAATATGTTAAGTTTATGGATTAATTTCTTTCTTCTAAATATTTGTACCTACACAAATAAGCATATTTTATAAATAACATCATTAATTTAACGTAATATGTTTCAAACCTAAAATATGTGTAGCATCTTAACTTACTTATAACATGTATCATATATTATTTTTATATGACTTGTATCAATAAAAATTTAAATTAAATTCAATATCAAACAAATATATTTTAGAATGACATAACAACGTAAAATATGTTAAATTTATAAATTATATGTCATTCTAAAAATATTTATTTGATATTGAATTTAATTCATATTTTTACTGATACAAGTTACACAAAAATAATAACACATCTTTTATACATAACAACATAACTTTTTACAAACAGATATTAATAGTTTAATATATAAACCATCACATCTTTTACTTAACATATTCACATGATTTTAAGTGATAAAGTAATATAATGCATATTCACACATTCATACATTTTTTTTAAATGTGACACCACTTATATGAACATGTCATACAAAATATATCATAACATACTTCAAGTTAACCTCATATAGAAAAATTATTTAAAATGGGAAGCAAATAAATGACACTTCTTTTATACATAACATAACTTTTTACAAGGTGTCAACAGTTAAATATATAAACCATCACATCTTTTACCTAATATCTTCACATGATTTTAAGTGATAGAATGATATAATGCATATCCACACATTCATACATTTTCCCAACATGTGGCATCACTTATATGAACATGTCATACAAAACATATCATAATATACTTTAACTGAACAACATAACTTTTCACAAATAAGTGTCAACATTTTAATTAATAAACCATCACATCTTTTTACTAGCATTTTTACACAAATTTTTCTGATAAAGTAATATGATGCATATCCCAACGTTCATAAACTTTTCTAACATGTGGTACCACTTATATGAACATATCATACAAAATAAATCCTAACATGCTTCAACTGAACAACAAAACGTTTTACAAAAATAAAACTGTCAACATTTCAATAAATAAACCATCACATTTTAATAAATAGAGTAATATCATAGATGTGTATAAATTCATAACATTTTTTAACATTGGCACTACTTATTAATATAACTAAATTTGACATTCCAAATCAACTTCAATAAAATCGTACAATTAACTTAATTTCAATGTAACATATCTCCATTAGAAAATATATTAAGATTATCTCTCAATTTATTATCTACATATTACTATAACTAAATTTGGCATTTCAAATAATTTCCAATGCAACAGTAAAATTATAAATTGAATTAAGTTAATTTCAATGTAACATTATCTCCACTGAAAAACATATTATCTCTCAATTCCTAAAACCCTTAAAAAGATAGTACAATACGAGGAAAGTACATAATGAATGTGTAAAATAAATTAGACAGATATGAAAGCTAATATAATTAATTAATCGATCTATTTTGGGTAAAAAATGATACTGTAATATATATAGTAAAAGAGAAGGGATTTCAATTCAAATACGCCAAATTCATTACTTAATTTGATTTAACATGGATACCCACAAAAGATACTAAACACACAACACTATGAACAATATAGAAACAAAAAAATATAACAAGGTATATAGTAATAAATAAGGAAAATAACAAAATTACAAATATTTTTAAATCACAAATGAACACTTATAACAGATAAATAAAGTCACAGACTCTGCAATTTAATATACCAAAATTATGAAAATGCAAAAAAACTAACAAAATTACAAATTTTTCTAAATCACAAATGAACACTTATAACAGATAATTAAAACCATAAACTCTGCAAATTTAACATACTAAAAATTATAAAAATGATGAAAAACAAACAAAATTACAAATATTGTATGGTGGACTTCTACGGAATGTATGGTGGTCTTCTACTTCTCGCAGGAATGTATGGTGGTCTTCTACTTCCCGCTGGAATCTATGGTACTTCTCGCCGGAATGTAGGGTGCTTTTACTTTAAATCGGAGCTTCCCTAAAAAGGGACAATAATATTTTACAATCAAATAAATGAGATAATGATGCAGTATATGGAAAACATTACATATCCAACAAAATAATACAATAAGAAAGACTAACAGATTAGGCTCTACCAATAAATTAAAAACAAGCTACCAATGGGTATATTAGTTCTGCAAGTAATAAAAATAAACAAAAACTAATCCAATCCAAACATGCAACTTTGCCAGAATATTTTTTGCTTTGCTTCTTTGCCGAATTTTGGAACTTCCATTATCTAGTTTGGATCTCAGAGAGAGAGCCGAATTTTGAAACTTCCATCCTCTAGCTTGGATATGAAGAGAGAGGCGTAAATATACATAATACTTTGGGGGAAATGAATTCAAATTTTGGGAGAAGTTCAAATTTCAGTCAAATTCAATTGAATAAAACATTTCGTATAAAAATAGTCTACAAGACTACAACTAATATGTATTATACAAACGGTCTAATAAATATCATTTTAACTAAAAGTGCCATGTCAGCATTTACCCCTCCAAGAACACGTTCCGGTGAGAGAAGAGCAGGAGAGGATTTTTTCCCGTGCACCTGACCTCTTTTGATACCAAAATTTTCAAAATTCGTCTACCAAAGAGGGGTAATTTGTAAATTTTTGTAATTCAAGAGTGTTTTTTGATAGTAAGGTAGGTATAATCCAATTTGTCCTTTGAATAATTAAATTAGAATGTCAGTGGCACTGTTGTAATGCCACAAGAGTCAAAGACGCGGGAAAGAGAAACGTTGACGAAGGTTGACCAAGTGGATATTTACCGGCCGATCCGGTCATCTTCATCAAGCCATCCCACAGTTCTATTGTCTACAACTACAAGCAAAGGTAGAGTGAAAACGTAAAAAGAGCAGTTACTTTTATTAGTAAAGTTCCTTGGCCGAGTGGGTGGGGTTACTCTTGTCCGACCTGGACTAGGGTTTTTGTGAAGAGGGACGATCTCAGAGTTGTTCCCCATATCTTGGTTGAATTCGAAGTTTATTTGTGTTTCCATCATCATCAATTGAGGATTTTCTGGTGAGTGATCTCAATCTACTATCCATCACTAAATATGTGAATTTCTTATATTTTGTTGGTGTTGAATTGATTCAGTTATGAATTTGAACTTCTGATCACATTATATGGTAGGAAGGTTATTTGATCTGGTGTAATTTGGGGTATTGATTGTGATGTTTAAAATTAATTGGAATTGGAATGTATATAGGGATGTAAATTGATACTTGTTGATTTTGTGACTACTAGTTGTAATTATCTTTTATGCACCTGAGATCTTCGGCTGCTATTTTCAGTACACCAGGTATATGTGTGTTTGCTTGAGCTTTTGTATGTTAGGATTAGGTTTTGGATTTTGGTTTTTAGGTTCCTGGTGTGTTGAGAGTTGAGACTAGATTGAAGAAATTGGAAATGTTATGCACAATGTATATTTTTCATAAAGTCCTTATTTTGTGGTCTTCGGATGAAGTTTTGAAAATTGCTTTTTTAAGAAATGCATGCTAAAAACATATGATTAAGTATAACATAAAATTAAAAATGATAAATGATAAAAGAAAAACGTATAACAAAAAATACATGATGAAGAGACCTCCTCCACACCAAATGTCCATTTTAAATTTCTATGAAAGAGAGAGAGTTAAGAATTTTTATTATTTTTTACATATTTTAATTTTATATATATATATATATATATAATAAAAAAATAAAAAATAAAAATAAAAAAACACGTGTTATTGCCACGGCAGTGGTGTATTTTTCTTTTATAGTGGTGTATGTATAGCTCAATATATAGGCATTTATGCGAGCGAGTTTACATGAAAATATGTATTTGTATATATGTTATATATGCACATTTATGAATTTGGATATATAAGCACTGTGTGCACATATATATGTATATTTATATTTGTATTAAGTACACAGCGCTCCTCCTTTTTCTGGGCTTAGAACTGGCTGTGTAAAAGATTAGGCATTACAGTTGGGACATGAATATGGTACTACATAATTATACTGACATGTCAAATCCTAAAAAGATATGTTACAGACATGGTATGGGCACAGCGATACATAAATGTATATTTTATTTAAGACAATTGCTCAACTATGATTAATTTTCTAGTCTCTATGAGATTTGTATAATGTTGAAAATAAAACTACACAAATACAATGCAAAATTTATTTTATATATAGACTACTACCGTTACTTTTCTTCCATTATAATTTTGTCAATGCAATTATATTCTTGTCTTGCATTAAAAAGTGCCAATTGTTTGCTTGACTCATCTTGGTCGATAAGTTCAAGACCAATTTTTCTTAGGAAAGAAAGGTTAGACACTTAGGGTTGTTTTTATCTTGCTTAAAGAAATGTTAGACATGGCTCATTTTAAGACCTTTTTGTGCGGCGTATGACTTTTATTGAAGATTGTTTGGGATGTGTCAACCAATTGTCTACAATACTAAAATTTATTTTTGAACTATCAACATGTCCACGAAGTGTAGGAAACATGTTTAGGAGTGTCTACAAACTGTCAATGTTTGACACTTGTCCAGCACGGCACGACAGCTTCAGGGAAGTGTGTGTACTTCTTAATATGTGTATATTATTTTGCATATATAAATGTCTATTTTTTGGACTTATGAGCTCCAACTGTATGTTTGGGAAGTGACTTGTGGAAATAATTTGTTATTCATTTTCAAGTTTTGCAAGCTAATTTTATTTTTACTTAGATTTTATTGAACATTTTTCAGTCAACATGATTTTGTAGAAAATGTTTTGTTATTGAGATAAAAAAATCCATTCAGTGACTTAGATCTGATAATGTTCTGAACCTAAGTACCTATTCAGTGCTCTTTTCAAAGCTGTTTTGTTGTTCTCAAACAATGGAATTGAGAAATATTTGCTTTTTAGTTTTAGGAAGTGAAAATCTTGATTGTTCTGATTGTGTGACTAACATTGTTACCAAGTCATAACTACTGTAGCTATCACTTTTACTAAAGCATTGCTACTTTTGTTGTAAAATAGTTAGCACTTCTTACTCAACAAAAATTAAATATATGTATATATATATATATAAAGTTTTCTGGAGAAGCTTATTCAATAAGTGCCTAATAACATATTCTAGTTTAACTTTCCTGCTTTGAATATGAAATTCAGGGTTTTGGAACTGTTTTGTGTCTGTCCGAAAGTAAATAATTGTGAACTTCAAGATATTTGTCTAATAAAAATTTGTTTTATAATGGAATTTAACCGTCTTCCTAATGGAATTACGGGGAGAATATCTTCTTCTTTTTTTTTTTTTTTTTCTCAGCTTGTGCTCTCAATATACCTAGTTCAGTCATTTATTATGATTTTGGTTAAAAGCACAAATGGGCATTTTCTTGTTCATTATCTCATATTTTTAAAAAAAAATGTATTTTCAGATTAATTAGCTGATCGTTAGATGGGAACATCTTCTGGCTCTCATTTTCATCACCAACCTTCACCAAAAATGCTGCCTCCACGCCAACAACCACGACCTGGTGGATTGCAGACATCCCTATCCCTAGTTTCACTAGATGCTTCTGAGTCTCCCATTCTTCAGGAGCGTGGTTCAAATTCCGACCAGGTTCGTGAGTCCCCATCAGAGAGTGCCAGTTCACAGGAAACCTGGCCCACTGCTGATGCTTTGATGGCCAAAAAAATGGAGAAGGAGAAGGAGAAGGAAGGGGAGAATGGTTTTGCTGAACATTCTGTCGTTCGCCATATCTCAAGCTCAGATAAGATGTCTCTTCGAGATGTGGCCAGAGAAAGAGTAGATATAATATCTGAACGAGTGCAACATCTTCCAGATGAGTTTCTTGAAAATCTCAAGAATGAGCTTCGGGTTATTCTTGAGGGAACAGGTGGTTCTCAGCATAGAGAGGAGTTCCTGTCTCTGCAGAAGCTAGTTCAGAGTAGGGGTGATTTGACTGACAAAACACTGGTTAGAGCGCACCGTATTCAGCTGGAGATTCTAGTTGCGATCAAGACTGGAATCCAGGCATTTCTGCATCCAAATGTCAGTCTCTCCCAAGCTTCTCTTCTTGAGGTTTTTTTGTACAAGAGGTGCAGAAATATAGCGTGTGGAAGTCCGCTTCCCGCAGAGGACTGTACCTGTGAGATTTGCTCTATGAGAAATGGTTTCTGCAATCTTTGCATGTGTGTGATTTGTAACAAGTTTGATTTTGAGGTGAACACATGCCGGTGGATTGGTTGTGATTTATGTTCACATTGGACCCACACGGATTGTGCTATTCGCAATGGACAGATTGGCATGGGCCCTTCTGTTAATACTGCAGCAAACAGGGTAGATATGCTTTTCAGGTGCCGAGCTTGCAGTAGAACATCCGAGTTACTAGGGTGGGTTAAAGATGTTTTTCAACACTGTGCACCAAACTGGGATAGGGAGGCTCTGATAAGAGAACTTGACTACGTGAGTAGAATTTTCCGCGGGAGTGAAGATCCCAGAGGGAGGAAACTGTTCTGGAAGTGTGAGGAGCTCATGGAAAAACTGAAAGGCGGAGCAGCAGAACCTTTTGCTTGTAAAGTAATATTGCTGTTCTTTCAAGGTACCCATTATTATTTATTGTTGAATAGCTTTATTGTAAAAGAGAGTCATGCCAAGTCAACTAAAAATTGCTTCCGTGGTGGAGGGTCCATTGCAGAGACATTGTTTAGTTCTAGGTATTATTTCTAAATATGTAGTTCTTTGTTTGAATTGCTTTGGATGCATATATTTGTTGTATGCTATTGAGATGCTCCTAACATGTTATGCATTTATCAACGTTGGGACTTCATTTTGTGAACCATTTAGTTGGTATAAAATTTTGCAATTTTGCCAAATTGCATGGTAGGTCCATGTAGTAAAAAGGTACCACACATGTTATAAAGTGATATATGTTGTGCTAGTGAGCCTTAAATCTATGAAGTGGGTCCATGATCTACTTGTTGGATCGCTTTCGCCTTATACCATAGTTGATAAACTCTGCTCAGTTGGTAGGCCACACAATGCTTCTTTTTCCCCCCCCCCTTTCCCGAGTCGGACTACACCTTCTGACGAAAAGTAGAAAAAGACAGATGATCTACCTATCCGTGGGAGAAAAAAATAGTGTATACCTGAAGAGGAGATAGTGATTGATTGGTACAAATGCCATCTGTTTTTCTACCCTTTCGATGAAAGGTAGAAAAAGATAGGTCATCTACCTATCTTTAGGAGAAAAAATGAGTGTATACCTGAAGAGGCAATAGTGATTGAATGATACAAATGCCATCTCTATCAGTCAAGTTGGGATTTTAGACAGAATCAAATAACAAATGCACTTGGGTAAGGGAGGTCCTGACTTTCCCCTTCAAGAGGTTGGATACCAGTAAGAACAGGAAAGCATTCACTATATTTTTGAATTAAGAAGCTGAAAGGATGAACTGGTGTAGTGACGAGCTGCAGAAAGATGAGTATGAGTGTTTCTTCTGCAGGTCTTTATAGAAGTAGGATAGCATGGTAAGATAGATAGACGTCCAACCCTAAAGCAGCTAATTGCTCAACCTTATCTTTTTACATTACCAATTACTTGGTGAATCACGGTATTGAGTTTTATGATTGCAACTGCCTTTATCCTCCATTTCCCGGTGCTTACCGATCCCGACATAGAGCAACTGTCAGGGCATCCAAATAGTCAGTCAACCCACAACAGTGACCCAAAAGCGAAAGTCCATTGTGGTGGTGTAAAAGAATATGAGATTGAAGATTTCAGTTGCCAGAAGGATTAGCATTAAGGTAAAGACTTTTGATTTGTCTTTGAATGTTGTTTTGAACCCCCCATTTTTTTTCTAATAGATTCATGGTGGCTGGGAAAATGTGGGAAAAGTAAAAAAATTGAAATTTGAGTGGTAGGGTTTTCTTTTATTTGGTATTTGAGTGTTTTGAACCCCATTTTGCAAATAACAGAATGTTTGTTTTCAGCTAATATGTGGGAGAAGAAACAGATTAAATTTTGGAGCTTACAATTTTCTTGTTTGGGACTAAAAGCTGTATCTTCTTCCAATGAGGCATAATTTCAACTTGTTCCTGAGTTTTTTGAGCTCGAGCAGGGCTTGTTTGGGTAATTAAGTCGAGTTGAGTCGAACTCAAACTTAGCTAGTTTCGGTCAAGCTGAGTGAGCTCAAACAGGCTGGAGCTCTGCTTGAGCTCAACCGCTCTTGGATTTTGCCTGGGCGAGTATGACTCAGTAATCAGTAGTCGGTTTTCTACAGCATTCTTATTACAATGCGGAACTCTACAAGTTCCTTCCTTCTCTTGGGATCTGTTTAGGATTATGATAAGTCGATATTTCTTGTTGAGTCCTAATCCTTTTTGGATGTCTACCTCAAGAAATGAAAAACAAAAAAGAAAATATATTGTTCACCTTGAGATGACAAAAATTTATCTGCAGATTTTAGCATTTCACAGTACTGATTGAATGGGAGGAATATGGATGAGCAGAAAAATCTATTATTGATTCTAGCTTTTGCTTTGCTGGATTCTAGCATTTGGCTAAATTTACCTGCTGATTACTTGCCAAAAAAAATTAAATTTACCTGCGGATTTTAGTATTTCACTATGACTGATGGACTGATAAAAATATGATGTTGACAGATCTTTGCCAATGCTAAAATCTAGCATAGGAAAAAAAATTGCAGTTGGCTAAACTTTTAGAATCTCACACCGCTAAACTTTTAGCATTTGAGTCTACTCATTTTAGTTAGTAAAAAAAAAGGTCTACTCATTTTAGCATCGGATGCCAACCTCCAAAAAAAAAAAAAATTAATAATAATATAAAGAAATAAATAAAAGAAAATAAAAGGAGACATCATATTGGATAACAAAAATTTATCTTTTGCTGGAATCAACTATATGGATTTGGTGTTTGTCAGTGTCTCTAACATACTTCACTCGTAGCAAATCTAGACACACTAGAAAAACTTCTTTATTGATTGAATCAAGTTTTCCTTATTGTTCCAATTTCTCTGTAAAAAAATTTCTTTTTGTACAGAGCTGGAGGTGGACCCTTCAAAGAATCTAGAAACTGATGAAAGTGGACGGATGATAGCCCCCCAGGAGGCATGCAACCGGATTGCTGATGTAGTGCAGGAAGCCATTAGAAAAATGGAAATGGTGGCAGAGGAGAAGATGCAGATGGTAAAGAAAGCCCGCTTAGCTCTTGATGCTTGTGATCAGGAGCTCAAGGATAAGGTTAGGGAAGTGGCGGCACTAAATATGGAGAGGCAGATGAAGAAGCAACAAGTTGACGAGCTTGAAAGCATTGTAAGACTTAAGCAGGCCGAGGCTGATATGTTCGAGCTCAAGGCCAATGAGGCTAGGCGAGAAGCTGAAAGGCTCCAAAGGATTGCACTTGCCAAATCAGAGAAGTCAGAGGAGGATTATGCCAGCAGGTATCTCAAACTTCGTTTGAACGAGGCTGAGGCTGAGAAGCAATACCTTTTTGAGAAGATTAAGCTTCAGGAGAGTTCGAGGATGTCACAGAGCAGTGCTGGAGGAAATGAGACTTCCCAGATGATGATGTATAACAAGATCCAGGACCTGCTCAAGAATGTTTATAATGTACCTTCAAAGTCAGATGGTCAGCCAAAATAGACAGCCATTATCTTGGCTCATTTTCTTGAGTAAGTTTTTTTGTTCATTATTAGTTGTTTGTATGTATGAAATGTCTAAAATTGTTGCAGCACTGTGAAATATTATCCATCTTGTTTGAACTTCGTAATGACATTATTTCTTGGTGAAGAACTTATATGACATTATTTGCCTTGAAAAGAAAAGGCAAATAGAATTAGCAAGTCTTAACCTTCTGCAAATCTATATATTTCTAACTGTATTCTTGCTTGTTTGTGGCGAACCTCTTCTTTAATATGGATTAATCCAATGACCTGCTTTTGATTGGCTATATTTAGTACATGGACATAATTTGTACACGACATCTTGCATTTGCATAGCTCGACATTGTCATTCTTAGTGTGGCAGCTCATCTATGAGATCATAATCTGGTGGGCAGCCCTAGCATAGGTAGCTAGCAATGCTTAGATTTTAACGAAATTGGCCTCAATCTCTAGCTTTCGTTAAGAAAACTTACTTTCCTTTCTTAGTATCCCACTGCCTATGCCACCTTTCATTTGAAGATACTTCCACTAGACTGATTTAGGGGGCTCACTGCTGTGATCACTGGAAGAATATCGTAGCTTGAGACGCTTCCTTTTGAATTTACATGTGCAGTGGTGGTGCACAAAGAAGAGTTGACAAACTGCTGTGATGGAAACAGTCCTCTGGATGACTTTCAATTCCATGGAAACCTAACACATCGAGCTTAAACTAAGTTATGACCCTTTACCCCTCATTTACAAATTTGTTCTCTTGTGTTCAGCCGTCAAGGCTTCATTGAGTTGATGATTTACTGTTGAGCTTTATCTTGTGCTAGTTGATGCCCGTTATGCTGTTATGTTGTTTTGGAGCTGCTAATCAGAGTTGCAGGTGTGAATCAGAGATGTTGGTAAAAAAATTTCCGGTCAGTCTGAGATGTTCTTAAACTGTTAACCAGCAGTTCTGAAACTGTGTGTGTACCATTGTTAGGTTTTAACTTCTCAGCCCTAGGTTGAGTTTTCGAAACTAGTATAGACTATAGAGAGGGGAAAAAAAAAAAAAAAAAATCACCAACGGCCTCTTGGAATCTAAAACCCCAACCTATAGATCAGTTTGTCATTATATTTTCTCAAAATTTAAAAGTTATTTCATCTTTGAATGATTTACACATGGCAACTAGATAATGGAAAATCATAGACATTGATAACTAGATACACTCTCTTATAAAATATAATTAACCTGAAAAATGAGGGTAAATGGAATGGTTAAGAATCACATATTGATACAGATAGACAAGCACAAGACGTGAGTTCGAATATAACTCAACTCAACAAAGCATTTTTTTTTTTTTTAACAAAAGTTTTAGGCTAACTATCACACTACTTAACACAATTATTATTATTATTATTATTACAATAATTAAGTTATTGTCTTCCCGTGACCTTCAGAGGCACATGCACAAATATAAGTACATCCATATAGGTTTAATATATTATTTTTCCTGACCTAGAACAAACTGTGTAAAGTTTGAGTGAACAATACATTTATATAAAATAATAAAAATGTTACAAATAATGAGTCATTGATGATATGATTTGAACAGCCGGGTCATTTGTGTCACAAAAAGAACGGTAACAAGCTTAATTTGTAACTGACAAATCATTTTTATGTGCATCATAAAAGGTCGTTTTGAACTTGTAACTGATAATCATTTTTATGACATATCATTTGGGTCATTAGTAGCTCATTGATTTTGATTTTGATTTTATTTATTTAAATTTGTTTTACTTCAGTTTAAAATCTAAAAGAAACCGCAATTCAGGCATCCCAAGAACAAAATTAAGGAATGCAAAGAGTGTGGCATCACAAAAGCCACGAATTCTGTTGATGTTGTTGAATTAAATTCATACATATAACACAGATCTCCAACTGTTTGTGAAAATGACCATGCCAAGTTCTACTTGTAATAGAGGCCACTGCAACAGCTCTATAACAACAATGACATCTGTTTATTTAAGGATTCTACTCGCTTTGATCTTTTTGTCATCATTTCTACAAAAATCTGGTAATTTTTCAAAAACCCAATGAATTTCTTCACTTTTATTGATTGATTTTTACATCAATGTTTGATTTTAACTCAGATGATCATCACTATCATCAGAAATATATTTGGATGTTAATTTCAAGGACATGATTTTTATTCAATTTTTATTTTTTATTTTTCTCTTTTGGTAAGTTAATCATTATGTTCATAGTGAAATTAAAGGCACTGGGATATGATATAAAATGAATCCAATAGTACGTACTACTTTTCTAGTTTCATTTGTGCTATTTGAGAGCATCAAATTGGAGCCTTCGATTTAAAATTAGAGTTGGAGGGAATTTAATTCAAAATTTAAACTAAAATTTTCCAATTCAGTGTTCGCAAAGGTGACATTAATGTAATCGTTTTTGTGTGTGAGATTAGATGGGCACAATGAGGTATGGTGCATAGCAGATGAGCAGATACCAGAAGACGTAGTACAAACTGCACTTGATTGGGCATGTGGGAATGGTGCAGATTGTAGTAAGATACAAGTGAATCAGCCTTGCTTTTTCCCAAACACAGTGAGGGACCATGCCTCTTTTGCTTTCAACAACTACTATCAGAACTTCAAGCACACAGGAGGAGATTGCTACTTCAGTGCTGCTTCAATCATCACTAACTTTGATCCAAGTAAGAAAACACAAACACACACTCCTATTTTCAACCATCAATCTGAATTGCTCAATCCAAAAGATTTGGAAATTGATTCTGAATCAAGTGATTATTTCGGAGAACTTATTAGAACACTCCAGAACCATCGGTTACTTAACTTGGTGTTTCAGTCTTATCGAAACTCGGGTTCAATTTTATTTGTAATATATGATGTATTTTGAACTTCTGATATATCAACTTAAGGAATGGGTCCCACCTCAAGTTGTAAGCAGTAGGAGTGGCCATGGATCCGATTGGATCGGATTCGCGAACTCACAAATTATTTGCTCACCCCTCGTGAGTAGTTGGTGTGTAGTTTATTTTAGAGTTTTTGGTATATTATTATACTTTTGTGGGTTTACTTGTATTAATTCTAGAGTTTTGTATGCATTTAATAATTTCTCCATTGGAGAGGCATCAAAGAGGAAGCCCATATGCCTAACTTTGTCGATTCAATTTTTGGTTCTTTAGGGCTTTTGTTTTGGGCCTGTATTCTTAATATGATTTTTTTTAAATCTCTTTGGGAGTCTTTTTACTTTTGAGTATCACATTACAATTTTAGACTAATTAACCATACAAACTACTTTGGACTGAAGTATGAAAAATCTTGAATTTAAGATATAAAAAATATTTCATTTTATTTAAAAAAATAATAATAAGTAGGCTAATATATTATAGGTGGCAGGATGAGAGATTGTATTAATCATAATCAGCTATATAGAGTACAATATTTTGTCTAAAATGGCTTCATGAATATTCATATGTACAATGGAAAACATTCTTGACATTTTCCATTTTTTCTGTATGGCAGGTCATGATTCCTGCAAGTTTGAATATCTTCCCTGAATTAAGAGTTCAGAATACCAGTTCTTCCTTGAAAAGTTGATTTCTATTTTCTCTCTCTGTAGGTGTTTCCCAGAAAATATTTTTTCCATTATAATAATATTAGTATGAAATTCCTGGAAATTATTTAATTTGGCTGTTAATTTTAATTCATAGATTGTATTAATAGATTATAGAGAGGGCGAGACCTATATTACGAAAAAATCTAGAATTCTCCTACATATAGTCTTACGAATCTAACATTAACCCTACGTGTTATTACCAATTTCATTGTCATCCCATCAATCGAAGCATAATCTAGATCACCAAGCAATAAAAAAGGATTAATTAAACAGAAAAGCGCGGCAGTCAATCAAATTAGTCAAAAAAAATATATATAAAAATAAGATATGGATGTATATATATATATATATTTTCCTAAAAAGATGTGGATATTAATGAAGCAGTGTTATTGTGAACGATGATTTTCGTGTTTGGTACAGCCACTTTATTTAATTCCCGAATAAATCAAGGTAACAAATTAAGTCTTGATTGCAATATCTCAATGGTGTGTCATTTTTTTTAAAGTTAATTGAGAAAGATGACAATTGAAAATATATTATCCTATTTGGATCTTGTGACCTCCTTCTAGTGCTTTTCTTTCCACCACCTACAAATTGACATAAAGTGGAGTATTATTATTATTAATTATTATATACATGCACTCTACTTCTAATTCAGTGCTGTGAACTTCTGTTGCTACCATGCTTTAATCCAAAATCATGAACTTGCTAATATGTCTTGGTTTTCAAACTAAATAACTTTGAAAACTGTAAATTTTATAATTTTGTTTTTACGTATACGGTTAGTGAAACAAATTATATTACATAAATGGTGTAAAAATTATGTGAAATTAATGACTGACTTGGTTCAATTTTCTGATAACAGTTTTCTGTTTATTAAAAATAAAAAAATTGTACAAAAATTTGTTTGTTTGGCAATGAAGTGTGTTTTGAAAACTCAAATGCAAAAGGCCTATTTCAAGCAACCTGTTTTTTTTTTTAGAGTTCACTGAAAATATTTTCTATTTTTTTAAATATTTGAGTGACAAACCAAACATGTCATTAGTTCTTTATTGGTTTTTTGAGCCGTAAAATTAGGACTTGAGTAATGACACTGTCCAAAGAGAGAGCTTGGGATGTTCGTTGAATCTTGTCGGATAAGGTCCAAATGAGTTCCACTTGAATGCATTCAAAAGATAACCTTATTTGATTACATTTTTCTGTATATTTTCTTTTTATAAAGAGTATTGTTTTTTAATTTGGTATAAAGTTTGAGTGTCCAACAAATTTTTCAATAAATTTAATAATTTTCCAAGCCATACAATTAGGATTTTGGTACGCAGTCCAAAACATTTTTCAATAAATATAACCAAGTGCTTATATGACACTAATTAAAAGGATAATCTGCATTATTTCTACAAACAATATACAAGTCATATTAATCGTATTTGTCACTTTCATGTAAAAATTTCTTTATGTTTTATACTCAAGCACCCATTTTTCCTAACTTCTAACACTTTTTGTCTTATAAATAATAATAATAATTAATTTATTAAATAAAAAGGCTAAACTAAAATGCTACTCATTCTAGTGGCACTAGCTAGCAGTTAGTACCTCTATTTTTCACTTATCCAGTGAAAAAGGGTAATAGTGATAACATTGCTAGAACAAGTTGGTCCTAAACAAAGGACATCTTTATCTGTATATATATATTTTTTTTTTTCTCCCACGTGTTGAGGACCAAAATATTGACATGAAACATCTTCTAGCGCTTAGGCCAATCCAGTAACATGCTTTGTTTTTTATCTGCCCAAATTTTCAATCCATTTAATCCATATTGCTGTTTAGTTGGATTCATGAAGCTAAATGAAAACTACTTTTATAAATTCACAACCATGTATAATCCTTGGGAGCAAGATCAAGCAGCTGCACTTGTTATAATCCTCTCCATCTTGCTGCCACCCAAGCTAGGGTTCTTCACCGGAGTTTTGATAGTTTGGAATGATTATCCTATCTTTTTTTATAGTTTAAGGTATATATCATCCAATTAACTCTAGTAAAAATATAGAGAATGAATAAAAAAATGAGGTGTTTAATAAATAAAACAAAAAACATAAAAGATTAGGACATGTTTGGTTGGTGTTTTGTCTTTACATTTTTGTTTTAACTCTAAACAAAATAAAAGTGTTTTGTTATATTCTGTTTTGAATGGTAATTCAAAACATGTTTTGTAACGTTTATTTTTTTGTAAAACTTTTGAAAGCAAAAATATATAAACATGTAAAAAAAGTGTTGCAAGTTTTAAAGATATAATGGCTAATTTTTAAAAGGTCATTTTAATATTTTTTTTCATTTTGTTTTAGGTATTGTTCATTATTACAGCACAAAAATATTAAATTGGTGTATCGACTTTTAAACACTATTTAGAAACATTTCAGTACAGTACAAAATAATATTTTTTTTACCAAACATATTTTTTCTATTGTGTAATCATACCATACAAAAACAAAAACAAAAACAAAAACAAAAACAAAATGCCTACGGGACATATCCTCAATTTAGTACACAAACTGAGCTGATTTATAGTCTCAGAATTAGATTCATTTACAAAGTACATGTAAATCAACATGTGAACACCAACACTAAATGCACCCAAAATGGTCCTCCACTAAATCTACCCAAACACAAATGGTCCACCACTTTTCGACATCAACATCTAATATCATAAATCTGTCATTCTAGCTAGCAGCCCTTACCCACTTTTTTTGAACTTTTTTTGGTGTCGTTTTGCTTAGAACACACATTCACACTTGATGATGATCTTAGCTCAACCCTACGTGTGAATGACATTTGCCTAAGAAATGGGTCATCCCAGCCATCATAAATTCCACCACACCTTCCCAGGTTCCCTCAGTGGGGAGGGTTTTAAGACACTCCTCACCCTTATATGTCTTCCCTCTTTCCTTCCCTTTCTTTTTCTTGGGACACCAACCCATTGCCTCTTCCCAAAAACATTACTCCTAATTCTCAAGCTTTCTTTTCCCTCAGTAGTCACATATTATCAATGCATTTCCAGATATATATAAATTATGATTCGTCGCATTGCCTGTACAAAACTTTTTTTCAAGTTCGATACGTGATTAATATCGGTTAATTTACATTGATTTTGTCCGAGTCCGTTATACTACGACCGAGACCGATATTATAAATTATAATACTATGTATAAAATACTCGTGTCAGATCCTATGACAAGCTTAAAAAAATTTTTAGATATGACGAACACACTATAAATTTTTTCCTTAGAAAATCTTTAGATATATTTTACAAATTAAGAAAATTTTAGTGGGCACGACCATAATTTATAGTAGGTTGTTTTATCAAAAAAAAAAATAGTAAGACATTATTACAATGTTAGCAAACTTTTTAAGTACATAATATAAGTAAAGAGTATGTCCCTAGGGGCAAATCTGGACCCCCCTTCCTGAATTGACAATTATAAGATTGTCTACCCTTACTTGACACTTACAAGATTGTCCATGCTATTCCATTTTAATGCGGGCTTTTCATTCAGACAAGGATCCTTTTCCATTTGAATTTTCTTTGACATAATTAAATGGATAAGATTGAATTAATAAATAAGGTCCACTAATAATAAAACAATCTCAATTACTGAATTCAAAAGTAAAGAATCCTGTGGGTTAGTTCTAATAAGGAGTACTATTTACCGCCCTAAAAGACAAAAACCTCCAAGATTAGGACACTTGGCAGTGGCAGAGCTCAGTATCATAAATCTGGCAATTAAATAACACAGAAAATGAATTAGATTTACAAATATTGAGAAAACGTGTTGTGGGTGCGTCTATTTAAGCGGTGGGAACAGAGTTGTTGATGTTTGTATTTTGGACTTTGTTGGGTTTTTGTTGTGGGGTTAAAAGGTCTCTTCGAGTGGTTTTTGCTAGTACTCTTTTGGTAAAAATGAGCTATCTTGGTGTTGGGTCGAGTCCGGGGAATGTTCCAGTTTTTCATGGGAGCAATTTGAGGATGGTTGACCGGAGGGTGAGGCTTGCAGAGTTGGTTTTGAGGTGTTTGATCTGTGGTCTAGGTGTTCTTGCAGCTGTTCTTGTGGGTACTGATACCCAGGTTAAAGAAATCTTCACAATCCAAAAGAAAGCTAAATTCACCGACATGAAAGCTCTTGTGTAAGATCTTCAACTCTCTCTCCCTCTTTCTTCCCCTCTATGTGTTTGTATTTATGTGTGTGTGTGTGTGTGTGTTTGTTTTGATCGAAGTTTTTTAGTCCCTAAATAATCATTTTTGTTATCTTTGTTGCAGATTTTTGGTGATAGCCAATGGGTTAGCTGCTGCATACTCACTGGTCCAAGTGTTGAGGTGTGTTGTGAGTATGGTTAGAGGAAGTGTGCTCTTCAATAAGCCCTTGGCTTGGGCTATTTTCTCTGGTGATCAGGTATTTCACAACCCACTGTTTGATGTTCTGTTTCTTCCAGCCTTACTTTGTTAATGTTTGCATCTAGGGCTTTATTAGTCGCCCATCCTTGTTTGGCAACCTAAACTGCATACGTTCACAATACCACTGATTATAATGCTGTTTGATACATCAGCGTTTCCGGGGTTGGGTCGGAGAGGGAAAGGGGAAATAATTTGTCCTCTCCCTGCTTAAACCAAATCCTCTCCAAATCAATATTCAACAACTTAATAAATCTATCTTTTCGTGCCCTCATAGCTGTTGGATCGAGAGGCTAACCTCCTCTGATCTATCTGAGGGAATTAGTTCAGTTAGAACAACCTAATTATAGCTTTTCCCTTAACCTAAATTGTGGACAACTATGTAAATCTAATAGAATTTGGAGGAAGTAGCTTGCTTTCGTGGTGAATATTTAATAATTTTATTACTTAATTAATAACTTTTATAATAAAGAAGAAAACAAAACCTATTATATTATTAAACATGTTATAAAGATTAAATATTTTTAAGTGAGACTTGAGAGACCATTGTGGAGAAAAATCCTGATTTAGAACTCCTTAAGCACTGTAAGTCTACTCAAGAAAAATATAATATCTAGCTGAAATTTTTTGAAGTGTTTGCTTACTAGATGGTTGAAATTTACCTAATTATGATAGTTGCACATCCATGAAACCCATTATAGCTCCTAAATTTCTTACTCTGGAGGTCATTGAATGTGTGCCATGTGAGAAACAAAATTGAAGAGGCAGTAGTTGTGTGAGGCACTATTGGCTGTTGCTCAATGTTAGGCCCTAATATGTGCTGAATCTGAAATTCAAACCTGATAATTATCCAAGAGCTGCTAATTTGGTAAATAAACCAAAAATATCAATCCCAATACCCCCACCCTAACTAACCTTTACTCTAACCATGTAAAGGCAACAACTGGTTCCATCTAGTTTCCACATTAATTTTATTTGGTGATGACTAATAAGTGCAATGACATACATAGGGTAGTTTACCTCTTTGGATGTACCTTCTTATACAGCTTCAAACCTCAAGTTCACACACACACACACACACATATATATATTATATATATTTATTTAATTTTTCCCCTAAACCACTAGTTTTAATAAATGGTTGCCCAATGGTATCATTAGTTGTAAGTACGTTGTAACTGGACCATCTAAAAATTATCTTATACACTTCGTTTCAAATGTCCACTACTTTCATCGTAATATTACTTATATATTATCATAGTAATTTGACATTATATACAATTTCAAATCATAATCTAACTTTTGAAAGCAAAGAAAAAATATGTTACATGGACTCTCTAAAAGTTGGTGAAGTACCCGTGTCGGACACACAATACTTGGACATAAGTATGGGATGTGTGATCGACACTTTTGGTTGAACATCTACCTAAAAATCATATCCAATAATTTAATATTGCTTCAAAATGAGGGCGTTTCCAGTTTAATCTTGATTTGGTGTTGACTCATAAATGCTATGACATATGCGGGACAAATTTCCTTATTAGATGTACCGTCTTTATTAATATATATTTTCCTCCCTAACCCACTAGTTCTAATAAATGGTTAATTGGACCCATCTAAAAAGTATCTTATACACATTGTTTTGAATTGGTTCACTACATTCATCCTAATATTAATCTTTTATATTATTATAATAATTTACTTATCAAAAAAATATATATTATCATAGTAATTTGACATTATGTACAATTTCAAATTATAATCTAACTTTTGAAAGTGAAGAAAACCTATGTTACTTGGACTCTTTAAAAGTAGATGAAGTACCTATTGTTGGGAAACGAGCAAGTTTTAAAACTTTTTGAGGGATTTTGATTCATAAAACTTGATTCATCACATAGAGACAAGTTTTATGCAAAAAGAAAATATGATGTATCATTCAATTAATGGATCGAATACTTACTTCAAAGGTCTAAGTAAACCTTTAAATCTTTCCTCTAAAGTGAATGTTCTCACTTATTGTAGATCCATTAGCAAGATGCCTTCTCCTTAGATCTCCATCTTCTTGGTACTTGTTTTGCCTTTAGGAATCACTCATAAGCCTCCATGAATGACCTTGGAAAATTAGGCTTGTGGGAGCCTCCATTAGATGAGAACATAAACCCTAATTTTCTAGAGAGAGAAAATATATTCCTTTTTTCCTTCTCATAAAAATCACTCTTAAAATATACATAGACCATGTATATATATAGGCAACATAAAGATAAGGAAAAGGAAACAATAAATCCTTCTCAATCTCTAATTCACATGTCTCAAATCTAATATGATTCCAATATCAAGTTGGGCTATGAGTGAGAATCATTTAGGCCTATTATTTTATTGGCTACAATGAATTAATAATTGGTCCGGTCCATGGACCCAATTCAATTAATTCATAAATTAATTTCTACTCCACTAAAAGAAATTAATTGAACTCCAATTAAATAATAAATAACCTCTAAGTCAATATTACACTTTGACCCCTCTATGCATAATTAGTTATCGGATAAATAAAACCATCAATCCGACTACTTAATTAATATATTTATTTTGGTACCTTTGATTATTTCTGACTCGATCACAATAAAACATTTGTTTGACAAAAATAATAATTTAAATAAATAAATTTGTAATAAATCATTTTGTCTAAAAACACACGAAGGCCTTCGAATTTACTTTGTGATCAACCATAATCAATACAAAATAAATACAAGTAGTAATGATGCAAATATTGAAAATATAACCCTTTAACTATTAATTACATAACTACCCAAAGTGTCGGTCTAAGGATCCCGAAGAATCCGCCGAACAAATCAAAGTAATTATTAATTAATAAAAGAGTTTATACTTTTCTCATGCTTAAGAGTCAAATGTCATGACGGTGATAGGGAGCAATTGCATACAACGGCTTTCGTAATATATCTCAACCTAACGCGAATTCAGTTCAACTCTTAATTAATTATGAGTCCATCCATAATTACCGACTATGAACAATTTATGATTACTATTTATATACATGTATTGATTGTCATCACATACATATATAAATATCTCTTGTAATCAAATGGACACTATCAATTCCATAGTGAATCGAAACATAATACATTGAATTCACCAATTGTATAAAGCATAAATATTTCAGAAACGTCAAGAACATATGTCACTATAATCCAGATAGAAATTTGCTATGCCAGGGCAGATAAATCCCAACTCCTATATCAGACATAATATACTTGGACGTAAGTATGGATGTGTCTGACACTTTTGGTTGGACGTGTACGCAAAAATCATATCCAATAATTTAGTTTTATTATGTTTTTGCTTCAAAATGAGGGTGTCTCCAGATTAATCTTGCTTTGGTGATGACGCATAAATACAATGACATATGACATTTTTGGGACCAATTTCCACTTTAGATATACCATCTTTATCAATATAGCTCCAAGCCTCTAGTTCAAAGAAAAATATATACACCCCCCTCTCCCAAAAAAAAATCTCAGTAGTTATAATAAGCAGTCACCCGATGATATTTTTAGTTGTATCTGGACCCGTGTAAAAATTATCTTATACACTTTGTTTCTTAGCCTTATATATTATTATAGTAATTTGACATTATATACAATTTCAAATCATAATCCAACTTCTGAAAGCCAAAAAAAAAAAAATGTAGACTGAAGTTTGATTGTCTTAACATCAAAAATATTGATTAATAAATACATAATATATGACCAAGTTGAATATAGTATGAAAGCTTAGTGATTATGATTGATACTAACAGAGTGCTTTTGATGATTGACACAAGATCTCATACCTTCATAAAAGATAAAAATGTGTACCATAGGAAGCAATGGTATACAAATGCTCTAAATATTTCCCAAACACTATAGTCATTAATCTTGCTCTCCATGGAACAAGGTAAATCCGCTTCTATTGTACTTATTATAATTTTATTTTTATTTATTAAGATAGTTCATTGAATTCTTGTTTTATAAACATCTAACGTGATATCAAATTTTTTACTTCTCTGTAAATACGTTTTTGGGGCAATTCAAATGATCAATTTTCAAGATAAAGGTCATGTTTTAAAATATAATTAGTTTTAATTGAATCTTCAAATATCTCGGTAGTAAAAAATATAGCAAAAAATTTAATTAAATAAATTACAGTTTTTGCAAGACATCGATCATTTAGGGCCTATTTGGATGCCTCTTTATTTAGAAATGTCCCATGTACAATTTATATAATAATTCATTGTGAGAATTCATCTTGAATTGATCCATTTATAAAAATGGTAGACTTATCCATATTTCTTTGTATGTGATCAATTTTAAGTTTTCTCGAAATGGCAAAATTCTAGATTTCAAACACTTCCATTGAAATGACTACCAAATGTTTCCTAATGTTTTCATACAAGAAGATGAATTAAACATTGAGATGCTATATAAAAATGACGAACCCATTTAAAGGGAATTTCTAGAATTTGTGCGTGCTTTTATATTATTCTCCTCACCACCCACCCAACCCCAATCCCCCAACAACCGAAAACCAACTGACGAACTCGTGGTTCTGCTACTTCTTAGAAATCATCCTGCAAGCCGTGTTGATGTGTGTTTGGATTTGTAAATGGGAGCATCTGGGAGATTACCACAGATAGACTAGTGTAAACGCTCGTCACTAATGTGAATGATACATGATCATATGTAGGGCTACCATTTAATTGTGACACACTTCATTTTAATTTATTTTGCGTGACTAGAGTTGAACTTTCTTTATATTTGGAAGACTGAATCCTTATTGGCTTCATTTGATGACCTTAAAGGTACATTAATGCATCCCTACTAACTCATTTGTGCAGCTGATGGCATACTTGACATTGGCTGCTGTGGCGGTTGCTGCACAGTCTTCAGTGATTGCTAAATTTGGGGAGCCAGAGCTACAGTGGATGAAGGTATGCGATTTGTACGGAAAGTTCTGTAACCAAGTGGGGGAGGGAATAGCCAGTGCAATGGCAGTTAGCCTTAGCATGGTGGTCCTATCTGGTATTTCAGCTTTTAGTCTCTTCCGCTTGTATGGAGGCAACAATGGTAAGAGCAGTACAAGAAGGTAGGCTAGCTAATCTATTGCTTTTCACCGTCTTTAGAACCATAAAGATATGTAACTCCATGGCCTTTTCGTATATGTGAAAAGAAAGTTAGTTTCCTGTTCAAATAATAAAACAAGGATGGGGCTTGTGGAGTTTGTCCATTAAGTTGTGTATGTTGCATCTGAACTACTAATTTGAGGGTTTGATTAGTAATTAAAAGAAAACGCATCAAGAATGAATTCCAGCATTCAGTTTTTCTCTGATAAATCAACAACTTAAGAATTGTTATCACGAAAACACTAAATGGTTTTGGGTTGTGTTCTTGTGACTGTTCACATTTTGATTTCAAAAAGTTTGAGGGAGAGGGAGCCCATTTCATAAGTTGTCATAAATTGTTGCACTGCCTTGATGCTCAAAGATGATGCCAGTTCTACAAGTTAGTTGAGGATTGTTAATCTGCCAGAATGTAAAAAGTAGTCAGCCTTTAATTACCTCTGCTTGTTTTTCATATCATTCCATTTTGAAGACATTCTTATTGATTAGAGAATGAAGTGGAGGTATGATCCTCATATGGGCAAGTGGTTGGGAGTTAAATGAATTGAAGAAGGTTGATCTGGGCAATTAGTTGAGAGCTAAGAAATGAATTGGAGTAGGTTTGTTGAACGACTATATAGTATAGTACCTGTTGACGTGTTTTCCTGATAACCCTAATTTGCATAATACTCTAGGCTTCGATAATGTCAGTGTCACTCCATCTTGTCGACATTGTCTGTGATATAAATGGATGAAATTATTTATAATTTGTTCAACCTCCTGAAGGCCCAGGTTCTTTTTAATCAATGATTAATAAACATAGGTCTAATGATAATATAATGCGACACTTCCAACCCTCTAATCCTGAAAAAGTTATAAATCAACATTCAAACACAAATGATGAATTGGGTTTTGAATTGCATGAAAATGTACTGGTGGCAACCTGAATTCGGAACCCAATTGGGTTGGAGTTTCTTCCAGCATCAAACATGGTTTACAACTTGACTACTGCTATACCAAAGCAGCGTTTGCAATCATAACATATATATATATATATATGTATATACTATAAGAGCAATTTTGAAAGCTGGTTTGAGCATAAAAATATCATCCTTGTGTTTCTAAATCCAAAATTTAAAATTGTGAGCAATATAAAATCTTCAATTATGGCACAGCAGAAAACAACTTTCTACTTCCCCATACAAAATAATCAAATACCAAACACTTGATTACAAATATTTATATCCGATAGAAAAATGATAGCTCAGCATCAAACATGTGCAGACAACATCCTATACCGCATCTTGGGAGTTTATTCAACTTATGATCAATCAAATTCACATTCCTTTGTGATTGGAATGCAGACCATGCACTAGTCCTAGTGACAGTAAAGACTAAAAAATGAACCTCAACTACTTCACCACTGAAATAATCGCAGATGTTGGCTGGTGCATCTTATGACATATAATAACACATGGACCACTCACCAGAATTCGAGTTTACAATCTGAGAAGATAAAAGAACCAAGGATAAAAGGAAATAATGCTCAATAGATGGAAACTCCAGGCTGCTAAAGAACTTAGAAAAGTTTATGATGCGTTTGCTTTCCATATGTGCATCTTTCATCTGATCTACGAGCTACTCGGACTGCGGTGCTCCCAGAGCTGGAACATTGGCAATGATCTGAACTTTTTGACAGCTTCCTCGCATGGGAGTCGAAGTCAATCTCATGGCATATTTGCATATTGTTATTGTACATTCTTTCATCTCGTGGAGACTCATAACCCATTGCCTCAAATTCCTACAACATATTTGAGAAGTGGGGCAGCAAATGTGAGTGGTAAAATGGGCAGCAAAAGAGATTCAGAAAAATCTCAAATTTTTTGAAAAAGTAGTGTATTCACTTACCTTTGACTTTGTGGAATAGTAGGGTGTTAAACAGGGATTTAAATCCTTGAGGAACATGTCATCTGGACTACCGGGGGTTGTGTGATCCCCAGAGCTGAAATCCTGAATAAATTGTCAGTCAGATTATCATTGAATAAAGTGCTCAAGAAATGTGTTCTTAGGACATTGTTATTCTGGAGTTTGTACAAAAAAAAATTTAATAAAATAATAAATTAATTAATTGGAAAACAAATTTGAGTCATCATATTCAAAAGCGGAATGCTTCTCAAGGTGAAATCTGATTTGTAGCATTCTTCTGGCCACAGGCAGAATCAAACATCATACAAGGACCAATTAGTTTGTTATTTAAATTTAAAGCAGCACCATCATCATTATCAACCTAGCCTTTATTTGAATTTAAAGCAAGACGAATTATTTTTTATTCTTATTGCAACATCATAAAAATGCATTGATTTCTCCCATCATTATTCATGTTGATGCTTCCCAACTGGGAAGATGCTTGTATGGCATAAGCACTAATCCTATTCAATTGGATTAATTTGGATATTATGAGTTTACCAGAGAATTAGCAGCCTCTTCTTGATCAAATGCTGGTGTCCTAGGAGAGCTGGCATGAGGATCATAGCAGCCCCTTACTGAATATTTTTCCGACTTCACCTGTTCAATTAAACATAAATGTAAGCAACTCAGACACAAACTAGTGCAAGATGCCGTTATATAAACAAATCTAAGTTTTTGCAGGCATGAGAAGACATCAATCCAACATAAAAGTAACAGCAAGGACTCATTTTTGGCCAGGCATTGCTTTTTCCCAGCTTAGTTATTGATCAATTGGGTAAAGACATAGAAGATGAAGTTGAATGGTATATGTTATTTATTGACGACATTATTTTAATTCATGAAAATAAAGTAGGGATGAAAGTTAAATTAGATAGAGACAAGCCTTAAAGCCAATACGATTCAAGGTAAGTAGGGCTAAAATCTAATATACGAAATATAAGTATATGGTGTTAGCAAAATCTAAAAATATAAACAATGATATTTGAAAAGATTGACGTTCGAGAGATGCCAAAAGAGAATAAATTCGTTATCTAGGCTCCCTTGCTTATAAGGGACGGAGAGTTGGGCAATAATGTTACTCATCAAATTAAACCATGATACATAAGGTGAAATTATTGCATATTGTGTGATACATGAATGCTTCTAAAACTGACGGATAAACTTTATAATCAGACATCATCTATGATAGAGAATTTTGGGCGTCTAAGAATCCAACATTTTCATAAAATGAGTGTGATTCAGTGAAGATTTTGAGATAAATGCCAGATATACCAAGTAAATATAAAATTAAATGTCAATATATTAGTGAGATGGCAAAATGTCACCCTTGGAGACAAACTGTGAGAAATATGACTCAGATCAAATACTAATATTATAAAGCTAAGAAAAGTGACGTAGTCTAGAATCTAGGTTGGTGGTAAAGTTAGGGAAATGTCTAAAATTAACTTTTTGATTGAAGTAATGAAGAAAATACAATTGCATTTAAACTAACTAAACTTTGTTATCAAAGGCCCAAGGTGCACTAAGGTATTAGAGATCCTTTGGAGTCTAGGCGCAAGAAGCAAGGCGAGGCACACACCTGAGTGAAGCGAGGCACACAATTGAAAAATTAAATTACTAATAAAGCATATTCATATTCCATATTAAAAGCGCAAATGTTGTCAAAGGCGCATTTGCGCACACAATAGGCACTAGTGTTCCGCTTGCATGAGCCTGCAGCCTAGGCGCGTCTTTAACAACATTGCTAAAGTTATGACATAACTTTCACAGGTCAATATGACACAACATTATTCACGAATGGATCCTAAATAACTGGAAAGATTTGTTCTGGTCGAGTTGAGTTGAGTTGTATATTGACAGCTTAAATCTTAATGTACTCTGGATGACTACATGTTAATTGAATTAGTTAGAGAAGTGTAAAATAAGACAGCACCAAGTTCTACTTACAAGAAATATTATGGCAGTCTATGGTTATAATCTAGAGTTGCTACCTCTGCAAGATCCTCAGCAAGGCATTGAAGTTGGCCGGTAAGAGAAGTGACCTGTCTCTGGAGACTTGGGATAAGTTGTTTTGCCTGCTTTAGTTCCGAACCCTGTTTGTCCAAAAGCTGCTGAAGTTGTGAATTCATAACGTCGGGGAACAGTATAGCGCTCTTCAATGCATTTATCTCTTCCCTTTGGCTCAAGCACAAATTCTTCAGCTTCTCCACCTGCAGAATCAAACAGTAATGATTAAAAATTGAAAAATAAAATTAAAAAAATAAAATAAAATAAAAAACTGATATTTCAATTCGATCACATGCTGTGAAACTAATCCAAGAAAAAGTATAAATTCTAATTTCAGCAAACAAGAAGTTACCGAACAACTTAAATTTGTTATATTTCATAATACGCAGATACACAAACAAACATACATTAGTAATCAGTGACGCAATCTATATTACAACAAGCATATACCATCAAACAAATTCAAACAGCAGTGGCACACCAGTAAGTCTCAGAAGAACCTGAAGTCCCAATTTTTAAAGGAACCACAAATCATCAAAAGCTACTACTACTTTGTAGTCAATAAGACCATGAAACCACCTCATCCCAACAGTACCACAAATACGTCATCAAATGTATTCTGATAACCCACACCCGGTGGCTTAGGCACACAAAAGAGTTATAACAGCTAAAACTTTAACAATCCATGAAATGCCAACACCCCAATTTCACAAATTTGGACAAAATTAAGATAATACGTCAATTGTGGAATATGTTTACAACCTCCATCATCTCTCTGTTCCTTTTTTTATTTCTCAACGTACATAGCCAATTGCATTGCATCAAACAATTTCAAACAACAAAAACCATGTCAAGAACATCATGAAATCTCAGAACACCCCAAATTTCTAAATTTTCATAAACCCCAATTCACCAATTTATCAAACTAAAACAATTAAGCCCATGTGTCTGTACTCTGTAGATATATGTATTTTAAGTATATAAATATGTATCACCTCACTGTTCTTCTCCTCCAATATGAGTTTGAGCTCATTGATCTCCGCCTCCTGCTCCTTATTCTGACTCAAAAGCTCCCTCTCGCTCCTAAGCACCATCGCCAAACTCCTTGTATTCGCCTTCACCTCTGTCAACGCCTTCCTTTCACTCTCATCCTTCCCCGCCGACCCGGAACCAGAACCCTTGCTGAACAACTTCCGATGCAACCCCGAAAAATTCGCACCCTTCCTCGCCGTCTTCTTCAAATCCTCGGCGATAAAGTCCGCCGGAATTACCAGAGCAGTCCGATTCGCCGTTTTCGGCTTTGACCGCTTCTCCATAAACTTCTTCACCATGGCGCTCAAATTCTGCTCGTTCTTCGCCTTGATCGGAGCTACATCGGAGGAGGTCTTCGTCTTGACGAGCGCACGGGAAGAGTTTTGGGGGGCCGAGATGGCGCTCGTGGATTGGCCGCGGCGCGTGTTGGAGGCTCCGATTAGGCGTTTGAGGGAAGAGTGGTTGGGTCTGAGCTCTGTGGACGATGATGGATCTGATTGATGAGATTGTGTGGAAGAGCGAGAATCGAAGGAGTTGTATCGAGAGGCCATGTTGGTGGAGTGATTGATGCCTCTGTGTGTCTGTGTGAGGATAGTTTTGGGAGTGATTAAAGTTCGAATTTTTAGGATAGAAGGACCATTTCTAGGGTTTGCTCCGTAGTGGAGTATGTGTCTCTGTGTAATAGAGAGAGATACAGTGTGTCTGAATTCTGAAATTGAAGAGAGAGCGCGTCGAAATCTGAAACTATAAATGGTATACGTGTCCGGATGAGATTGCTCGCGATACGCTGGCTTTTGGCGCTGTCTGAATTTGAATTTTCGCGTGAGAGGCGCGCGATGTTTGCGTGACACAGTGGCACTAAATACCCTTAAATTTTCGGGAGTATAAAATTACGGAATAGTTGGCGGGAAAACATATTTTTATTTTATTTTTTTAATAAAATTTTGCTTGCTTAATGCTTTACTCAGGAAAAATAAACAAATTAATAATTAGCAATTTGATTTCTTCTTGCGGTTATTGGAGAGTTTATCTCATCTTCTTCCATCTATTTGTCTAATATTTTTGTACCTTATTTTGCTGTTCATTCACGGGATTAAGATTGAGCGTACTTTGGATTATTATTTTTACTCTCCAGCTAATTACCAGTACCCGTCCATTTTAAGGATTCTGTACCTTGTTATACTGATATGACATAGTCGATTGGAATTCGAGAATTCATTCTCCATAATTATTTGTGATGGTATGTATAAACATAAAAGACATACAACTAGTGTTACTAGCGTATGCGTACGACATAGATATTGTTTGTTTGGTACATTTTTGGTGGTGTACATATCGGATGTTTATTGTACTATATGAATTGTCTAGTTCTGCACAATCTCGACACTCTTGGTTTTAAATTTATTTGCTTATACAAAAAATAATATTATCTAATGAAAAAGATTTAATTAAAATATTCAATCTCTATACGGAATGCATTTTTGGGTGATAAATTATTTATTGCAGCCATTACAACAATGATGTGATACTACAAACATTCTGTCAAATCACATATATCAATTTTTTTATTTATTTATTGTAGGTCCACATTGTTTTGGTGGAGTGTTTGTACCCGTCATTACACCATGTTATCGTTACAATGAATAATTTATTACAGTCTTGAAAACTCCTAGTTTAATTCAAGGGACAAGTGCAGAAAACATCCCTAAAATATACTCTACATAGCCCTTTTACCCCCTATTTGAAAAAAGTATGCAAAAAATATACCTAATCTTTTCACATTGTGCAAAAATATCACATGTGATATAAATTAGTGTTGTAATACCCGTTTTATCTTTTTACTCTTCCAAAAATAACCAAGGGGTATATATGTTATTAATCTTATAGTATATGGGTGTTATGTGCACATTAACTTTTATATATATATATTTGAAACTTTTATATATATATATATATCTCTAAATATTTTTTTTAAAAAAAAACTTGAGAATTTATAGAATAAGGATTTGAATTTTTTGAGATTCCAGTTTACTCTTTTCTACAAAAATATTTATTTTTTTATTTTTTGGTACCAAAACTGTAAAAAAAAAAAAAAAAAAAAAAAAAAAAAATTCTCAATATTAGTGTACACTGGTTTTCGAAGTTTGAAAAAATTTTGTTTTCTTTAGTTTGTACTTTATTTTTGTTTTTTATTTTTTATTTTTATCTTTACTTTTTTTTTATATTTTTATCTTTACTTATCCATTGCCGGGGTCCTCCAATAGTGTCATTTTATAAAATTATTTATTTTTATATATTTTATAAAATGGTTCAGTAAGGGTAATTTAGTCAACTTTAGATTTAAATTTGTCAAATGGACCTATTTGTACCAGATTTTGCACAAAAGGGCCATCCTCCAATAATGTTCTTTTCGGTTATTTTATAAAATAGTTTAATAAAGGTAATTTAGTCAACTTATGCTATGTTTGATGTACAGGAATGGAATGGAATGCAAGTGGGAATGGAATAGAATGATCATTTTCATTCTATTGTTTGGTTGTAAATATGAAATGTGTAGGAATGAAATGATAATAACAATTCTAATATTTGGTTGGACTAATTTAAAATCTAAAATAGAATAAATTTTAAATTGAATTATCCAAAATATTCCTCTTAGTAACAAATAAATTAAATTAACAAAAAGACATTTTTTAACAATTTTTAAAAAATAAATGGTAACAGTGGTGGTGGTGGAGGAGAAAGTGGTAGTGGTGTTGTAAGGCAGTGGTGGTGGCAATGGTGGAAAGTGATGATAGTGGTGGTGGAAGACGGCAGTGGTGTTGGTGAAAGGTGGTGGCAGTAGTGTGGTGGTGGTGGAAGGCGATAGTGGTGTAGGTGGAAGGTAGTAGCGATGGCGATGGTGGTAGTGGTGGAAGATAGTGGTGGCGGCGGCGGTGGTGGTGGAGGAAGATGATAGCGACGGTAGTGGTGGTAAAAGGTGGTGGAAGGCGAAGGTGGCGGCGGTGAAAGGCGATGGCAATGGTGGCGGTGGTGAAAAGCAATGGCGGTGATAGTGGTGACGGTAGCAATGTTGAAAGGCAGCTGCGATATGTGGTGGTGGTGGAAAGCGGTGGGTAATGGTGAAAATCGGCAGAGGTGGTGGTGGTAGAAGACGGTGGTAGTGGTGGTAGTGAAAAAACAGTGGAGGTGGTTGTGGTAGAAGACGGTGGTAGTGGTGGTAGTGAAAAAACAGTGGAGGTGGTTGTGGTGGAAGGTAGTGCTAGTTTTTAAACTTGAAACATGAGAGTTTTTTGAGAAGTTTTTTTTTTTTTAAAAAAAAAACACTTGGGAATTGAATGACCATTCCAGGGGTTTAGTTGTGGAATGGATTTTCAATCCAATAGAATGGTCATTCTCACTTTAAATTGCACATCAAATAAAGGAATGGTTGAAATGGGTATTACATTCCATTCATACACATCAATCACAACATTAGGGTTTAAATTTGTCAAAGGGACCTATTTGCATCAAATTGAAATTTAAGAGTGTTTTTTGCACGTAAGAGTATGATATGCAGTGTAAGCATACTTTATAATATTTTCCGCATGCAACCCTTAATTCAAATACTCTACTAAGATAAAATTTAATAACCATTAAAAATGCTTTTAAATAGTGAAAAAACAATTCCAAACAATTTATTAAAAGCGAATTGAGTTATCTGACAGAAAGATTTGAGTCATATATAGCATTGTAACGTTAAAAAAGAAAGAAATAATTTTGTTAATTATTCGTAACACATTCTAAAAACTCAAGGAATGTTGTCAAATTTCAATCAAATACATGTATCAATTAAAATACCGACTACCGTCATGCTCTGAAATCATATCAAACTCAACAAATTTTAAGTTAAAAAAAAAATATTAATGTCACATAATGAAAGTCATTTACCATGAGCAATAAATTACCCTAATTTGTACCTTTTTATGAAGAAATTTATCCCATTAAGGCAACATAATGTCACCTTTTGAATTTTTTCTTCTTCCTCCTTTATTTTTTATTTATTTATTTATTAGTATACTACCATACTCTATATGTGTAACATTTATATATGACGTGGCACTTGGTGATTGGTCTTCTTGATGTGGGGATAAGGCAGCTTTGGATCCTTCTGTTCTTTCACCCAGAAGATAAGGCACCAACAAATACTTGAATATGCTCTGAATTCATAAAGAAGAATCAAAGATATGAACACCTCTACACTTAAATCTCACTTGATCTACTTCCCACGCCATAGCAATCCCACAAGCCCACCTGCAAAACTTCTATCCCTAATAACCCCCATCAAAATCACTTCATGTCTAAAACACCCTACGAATCCTCTAAGAACTACTACTACTACTACGACCCTTTCTAGACAAACCATAGGGTACCCTACAAAAACCAGTCATATAAACAAACCCTCTACCTCAAACCTCATTCCCGCCAAATCAGAAAGACCCTCGAAGGAAGAGTTCCCTCAAGTTTTGCCAAATGGGTATTCAAGGGTTGTGATATTTGGGGCTGTTTCTGTAGGATTTGTACTGTTTCTAATGGGGCTTGATGATCACAAGGCACTGGCTTTTGGTCCAGGAGGGCCATTGATGGAGGATTTTTGGGAGAACATGAGGAGATATGCACTTTATGCTCTGACAGTGAGTACTGGTGTGGCTTATGTTGTGTTTCAGCCCATAGTGGAGTTGTTGAAGAACCCTATCTCTGCAATTCTCATTATCACAATCATTGGGGGTGGTTTCTACATTGTTTCCCAAGTTGTCTCTGCCATGGTTGGTGTCACTGATTTTTCTTATGATTATAGCTATTAGATGGAGAATTTTCATATATATATGTGTGTGTGTGTGTGGAGAGAGAGCAATGTTAGTATTGATCCATGTTTCTCTATTTCTGTTTAGTTCAATTGCAAGAACAAAGTCACTTGGGGACAATTTTTGTCCATTCATCTGAACTTATCTTTCCGAATTTATGATTCTGGTTAGACGTTTTACTGTCACAGTTTTTTGGTTCTCCTTTGCGGAAAATACTTTAATATTTCTCAAATATTTACTGATTAAATGTTGATATGCGTAACAAGATTTACTTTTAAAAAATTCATTTTTTTCTTTATGTGATAAGGTAAAATTTGTTAATGAGATATATGACATAGTAAATGACTTGTCAATGAATTAGATATCTAATTTGATCCAATAATTCCCGTATAAATTGAATTTATAATTCCGTTAATAATTTGAATTCCATAAGTTGTTAGTTAAATAAATTGGATATAGATTATAGTTATAATAATAATTCGGTTCGATGTAACATAACATATAATATGTTACTTGTCAAAATATATATATATATATATATATATATATATATATATATAATATGTTACAAATATATTATTAATGTTATAATATATAATATTTACATATTATCAAATTCATGCATCTCTCTGTTTTCTTTCTTATTATTATTTTTTTTCAAATACCAATATGCTATTATTCTGTTTTTGGGTTGTATTATATTTTTCTTTTCCGGCTTCTCTCTCTCTTCTTCTTTTTTTTTAGGCCAATTGAAATTTTTATTAACAACAAACTACTTCTTTAATGATTCGGATTATCATATTGATTAATAACCAAACGAATCGGATATAAATGGATATAAATTTACTTATAAATATATTCATGAAGTTATCAGATTAAATCGGGTTAACTATACCTCTTTTCGAATTCGGATAGGTTGAGTCATAATCCAATCGAATCTCATCTGTTTATAGTTTTTTTTTTTTTTTCTTCTCAAAAGGTGACCTGGGATCATCATTTCATGATTTAACTTTTAGATCTTCCTAGTAGGGGGTTTGGGCCAGTCACCCGAGTGTTGACCAACCCGAATCCTAAGTCTGGCCCACAATTCAAATTCTGGCCCAAGATTGTCTTGGCATAATATGATGGATAGATAGCTGTGGACGAGTGGGCTTGTCTACACCAAATGGAGCTGGCGCGACCTGACCTGTTGACAGCTCAAGGTTCAACGGTGTTGGTCCAGTAATGACCGATCCAGCCCAAACGATTGGATATTCCAAATTTGGGCGTACCTCTTTGCACGGCTTGGGCCGCTTGACTCGACGTTAGGACAGTCTCAAATGTAATAAAAAAAGCTCAAAATAGGCCCCAACCAAATTACAACATAAGTAGAGTGAATGGTGTAAGTCTGGGATTGAGACTTCGGTATACAAGGGCTTGAGGGGGGCCCATCTCAGTGCCACCAGTTTGAGAGCAAGTAAAATTTTATTTTGGATGAACTATTGGACGGAGATAAATGCATGGGCTCATAAAGGTTACCACTTTATGATGTATATATTGTCGATCCCGGATTCCAATTGCACTTAGGAGAGATTTCAATTATCTTCAACAAACAAATACGCGTTTCTAACCCTAAATTTGAAATTATATTTAATTATGTTTTGGGATATTATTATTTATCACATATTTGTATTTATGTGATTATATCATCTTACAATTGGCATATTTTGTTGGTTCAAACAAATGGTGTGTAATGCCCTGCCATCAGTGGAATGACCCTGTCCTATCAGCACATGACCCCATAGCATCTTGCAAATCGTTCCAAGGAACAGTCTGTCTAGACAGAACATTATACACGTTTCTTCTTTATGTAGACTTATTCGAAATTCGCTACAATTATTTAGAGTTATCTTGACTTGTATAAATTGTACATAGAAGTCTACGTTGAACCATTTACACTTGTACATATGTTAAAAATAAAGTAAGGAAAGAGTCAAACGAGTCTCATTCTCTCAAACTCTCTCAGCCGAATTAGCACTTAAATGGGACAGAACTAGAAAAATTTGGCAGCGTAAGAATGAACTGATGATTAGCTTAAGACAATTCTTTTTTAGAGTATTATTATTTTAGAGTTTATTGGATTCAAATATTAAGAATAGTTAAATGATGCATAATGTTTGGTTTGTGTTTACCACAAGAATCTCACACCCCCTTAAATACGGTCAATTCGACAATATAATTGAACAAATTACACACAGTAAAACAAATGAACCCTAGCACCTCACTAGGTCATTCAAAGCCTCAATTGGTTCCCACCAATGAACAAACAAACCCTAGCGTCCTGCTAGGTCACTTAAAACCTCAATTGGTTCCCCCCAATGAGCAAACAAACCCTAGCACCTCGCTAGGTCACTCAAAGCCTCAATTAGTTCCCCACCAATAAGCAAACAAACCCTAGCACTTCGCTAGGTCACCCAACGTCTCGATTAGTTCCCACCATGAGGTATCATGAAATAAACTTATACACCTCACAGCTCGAAAGAAGGATAAGGTTCTCTCAAGCAGAGGAGTCTGTTCCTCTTTGGGATTTTTTAGAAGGATCTGGTTGGGTGGATGAGAAACTAAAACTTGCTGTTCTAACAAGCCTAGTTAGTGAGATGGTGGATTGCATGTGTAAAACAGAAAGTTTCTCATCACATTTAACACTTTGACATAGCCGCCATCAACTTAACCACCGCCGGTCATAAAGATAATAAAATGCATTTAATTATTGGATAAAATATCTAGCAGGTTTCACAATTCCACAGAAGGAAGTGACCTTCTATAGCCCTAATATCATCATGACTACCTCGGTAATCATGATTTATGACTAGGAACTGCTAAGTAAAAAGAAGAGTATTAACGTGATTACAGTAATGTCTTCTTATCACCACCAAAAACTCTCACTACCTTGTCTACTTTCTCCTCCTCCCCCACTTTGGTTCTTTGAATCCCACTCAGTTGTGTTCATTGATATTGCCCTTTTATTATTATTTGTTTATTCTGAGAAAATGACCCTCCTACATAATCAATTTTGTTGGTATCAGTTCTCATTTATTTTTTGTTTCTGTCAACAATGGTGTGCCATTGACTTACCGAGTCTTCCTTGAAACCAAAATTGATGGGGTTAGGGACAACTTAATTTTCGAAGTGACTCTCATATTGTCCCCTTATACATCGCAAACATGGCCAACAAAATCTGGCACCACTTCATATTACTTACCACTCATTCATCTTATCAGCCCCATGTATATACTTAATCTCTGCAAAGCACTGGATTTGATTACAATAACAACACTTAAAAAAAACTTAATTTACGCTTTTAATACATTAAATTTACTAAATGAAAAGTGATTTCATTCACTTGAAGTAACTTATAATCACCCAAAGTGGTAACAAGTTGCAGTGTAATGAATTATTAAGACTCACTCCTACAATTTCAACTATTTATAATACAAGAAAATCCTAAAACCAGAGTTGATGAGCCTAAAAAACATGAGAAAATAGGGAATAAAATTCTAATAGACATCGCTCCACTGCCATTTGAGTGCGCTGGTGCAAAAATCTCGAAAAATCTCCCAAGAGTATTGAAAATGCAAAAACGGACCCTCAATGTTGAATTGTGGTCCAAGGACAACTTATATCAAGAGTAAAGCTTGCGAATATTGTGTTGAGAGAATAAAAACAAAAATCAAGAAATCAAGAGAAAAAATCACATAACAAGACACGTGATTTATGGGGTTCGTGAAAATCTTTTTACCTACGCTCACGGAAAGCACAAGAAATTTCACTAATGACCTGTGTTTACAACTCAGAGCTCACTTTGCTCTCTCTCTCTCTCTCTCACCCTCACCTTACTATGTATGATTTATGCAAGACCTTCATTTGGAACACTTTCATATTAAGAAGCTTCAATATTGAAACAAATCCCTAGTTTTTTTAATAACCTTCTACTAAAATAGTTCTATATACACCAACTGTCAGTGACTTAGCGGTATCGGTTTCTTATCTCTCTTTAGAAGGTCAGGGATTCAAGTCTCACAAAAGACGTGTGTGTGAGTACCAATTAGGAAAAAAAAAAAAAAAAAAAATGTTGCATAACAGTTTAAGTCATGTTGTATTTTGTCTCTTTGGTGCCTGAGGGGAGTCTTTAACCTGCGATCGATCAAAAAATTTTGAAATTCGATTGAAGAACTCTTTAGGTGTCAATCGAGCCTTCAGCTACTGTGATTGAAGCACACACTGGTGATATTTAAATTTAGATTTCACAACCCCAACATATTAGTTGTTGGGTCATTTCTGATTAGGTTTAGGTATCTATGAGTCAAACAAAGTCGTCGGAAATGTACCAAAATTTGTGTCAGAATCGGTTTGGACTTCGGCAGCATTGGTGAAGTATTAATTGAGGCCACATTTAAGTTAGAGTTCGGCAGCATTGGTGAATTAATAATTGAGGCCTCATTTAAGTTCAAATCTGCACAGAAGACACTGCCCCTCATGCTACGTAAATTTAAATGGATCAACTTTTACCCGCTTTGCCGTCTCATAGACGCAGAAGGACACGCGATATTTGCAGTCAGAGCTGTAAACTTCAAAGCAGCTCCTTTCTGGCAGCTACTTTCACCATTTACTTTGATCTTTTCCAAACAAAAGTCTTCTTGATTGGTGGAAATTTGACTGGCAATTGGGTCTAGTTCAGAAAATATCCATCCCATACTCCACATATAATTACCAAGGGTATTCTTGTCATTTCATTCGGACCCCATTTTAAGACTATGGTAGTCAACAAAGTTGCAATATAAATACAGGACATCATATCCATCACTCACCATACAAACCAAGAATCCAACACATTAATAATACTCACACCCCTTCAAGTTCTTCCCTGCCAAGTCTTCTCCCCCCCCCCCCCCCCCCCCCCCCTCTCTCTCTCTCTCACACACACACACATCAAAGATGGATCAAAGTGAGCAGTACCAGAAACTTAAAACTGCAACCCAATTCAACAAATACCATGAATTTCTTAAGAAGACACTGCAATTTGCTGTACCAGTGTCTCTACTATCATTCCTAATTCACTCATATTCCTTAGGCTTCTCTTTCTTCTTCCAATACTTGGATTTCGAATTCTCACTCTTCAGTCACACCCCCGAGAGGAAATACATATTCCTCATTTGTAATGGCATACTTGCTTTTCTTTTGAAAAACTCGGGTTTAAGTACCCCAAGTGGCTCTCCTGCCAAGTCTAATGCTGAATTTGGCAGGAATGGTGAACACGGCGTGAAACCGGTGCCTGCAGTTGGCATAGCATCTCCGGAGGAAGTTTCACCGGTTGAAGAAGAAGTATCGGAAAAACAACAAAATGGGTATCTGAATACAGAATCAGAAGAAAGAGATTTGATCAGAGGAAGTGAAGAGAATGAAGGAGAAGATGGTGAAGAGGTAGTAGAAGAGAGAGGGCGTTTGATTCCACCATCAGCAACAGAGGAAGGAGATGAAGTGGATATAAGTACAGAGGAATTGAACAGAAAGTTTGATGAGTTCATCAGGAAGACGAAGGAGGAAATTAGGATTGAAGCTCAAAGGACACTAATTGCTGTGTAATGTAAAACTCAAATACTTAATTATAAATTAGCAATAATTAAGCTTCATAAGTTCAGTCTACTTTTAGATGGCCAAGGACTATATAGTGTTTTCGATTTTTTTTTTCCAGTTGTAGACTGAAATTAAAGACTATTTCAGCTTTAGCCTTCATTAGTCTTCATGGGTACGTGTACTGTTAATTCATTTTCAATCTCTTTTAAATTAGACAAAAGTTCAAATTTGGAGTGTTTTAGGTTAAACTATGAAAACATTTGATCAATCTATGCTAAGTACACAAAATGACAAGCATTTGGTATAACTAATTATAATTTACAATACATTATACTCCCTCTCTCCCACTTTAAATGATACATTCCGAAATATTGCAGAGTCACATTTCTTGAAAGTGACATTTAAAATGAAATAATAATATATTAAACATAAGAATGCCAGATAAAATTGCAGTTTTGTTCGTAATCTACTTAAAGGCTGCTAAATTTTCTTAAAGTTTGTGTGGAATGGCATAATTCAAACCTAGCCTTCACAAATTTCTTTATGGGCAGAATTTTTTAGTTCCCTTCGTTGATAAACTTGAAATGTTACAGAGCATTGAATGTTTGACCATAGCCAACATCTAGTAATGTCTTTTCTCAAGCTTCTATAACTTTTCAATTTTCAATAAAGTTGAAAATGGGAACTACTATATTTATGCGCGATTCAGTTTTCTTCATCCAGACCATGATCCTTACTTTCTCCTTTTATTTCATTGAAAGTATGGCAACTAGTGATCGGACAGAGTCGACCAAGAGATAGCTTGCAATAAATTCCGTTAGTTGCGCCCAGGCACACCTACAAAAGAGCAGAAACGGCCGCCTAGTCGAATAGAGGGGCATACGCCTACCCCATGACTTCAACTCACAAATACGGGTATGAAATAAGAAGTTGGAGGGGGCAACCCGCATTGACAACGCTGTATAGATACTGTCTGTTTTACCCTTCAGACTATTCAGACTATTCGCAAAATGCGTTTATGTTTATATAATTAGAAGACACCCATACATATATTGCCGATAACTTCTTCCGAAATGATGCGTAAATATGAACCTATGAATGAGAGACAGCTTTCCACGCGCACCCATATCCTCGTAGCCAAAAACCCACCTATAAGTCTCCAAATTCATTCCAAGAGTAGGTACGTAAGGTCCATCACAAGTGACTCAGCTGATTTAAGAAAATCATTTAAAATTAGTGCAAGGGTCCTACAACTTTAGATCTTTAAAATTTCAATAAGCACAATGTTGGGTCCTACAACTTTAGATCTTTAAAATTTCAATAAGCACAATGTTACAAGCCTGATATTTTTGTGGCTAATATGACATGGGTTTGCTCTTTTGTCATGTATATGTTGCACAGTAACATGGACACCGACCATTCTGTACTAGGCTCCTACAATGGTGTGGTTACAAAGTGTGTGGCTTTCATTTTCTCTAATTAATCTTGGTATATAGTATTATATCATGAAAGAGATTTCGAGACCCATCTTTTAGATGCCACTTGGAGGAGAGATATCTAGAAAAGACTCATAATGGGAGGGATTGATGATAAAGCCTTGCAAGTTGCAACTTGACAAACCCTGTTTCATTGATCTGTCTGCAAGCGGGGAGAAGATTGTGAATGTCCATAAATTTTGTATGCAAGAGTTCAACATTCACTCATTTAAAAATGCAAATCTTTGATTGAAAAGTAAGAAATTGTAATAGCATGCAAAAGAGAGAGTTCTAGCATCATGAACGGATTTGGGAATTCATATGAGAAGGTAAATTTATATAGAGAAATTTTTTCATAATTTTAGTGGGGACAATTTTAAAATTTTATGAATATAAATGCAAAAATGTATAAATTTAGGCATATAAAATGTAATAATAAAAAATTTCAATGGGGAAGGATGCACCCGACTGAACCTTTCACAAATCAGTGCCTCTCTAGCATTAAGAAGGATAAGTATTAATTAATGTGACAATGGTTGAAATAAGCATTATAATTAAAGACCCGAGAGACTCTATTTTATCCATAACCGATTAAGAATTTTTGTTGGAATCGATATATGCTTACTAAGGGAAATGATAATCAACAACTCTCTTATACTTTCCCTCCATTTCTTTTCAATTTTTGAAGGACACTTCATTTTGTTTGGAAGAAAAAAAATGATTGTTTTACTTTGCAAGTAAAAGGCTAAAACAAAATTCATTTGTTGAAAATAATAAAGTAATTATGGGTAAAATAAGAATTCAATTATTGAAATAAGTGCAAAACAATTAATCACCAACTCTCCTATACTTTTTCATCTGTTTATTCTCATTTTGGAAAGGATAGCAAAAACACTGTTAAGAGTTATACTATCCTTGTACAATATACATATGAGATACTTTCTTTCGTAAGCAGTCTATTATTCTTAATCTAAATTCCAAACATAACGTATCCTAATTTGCTTAATAATTATGCCACAATTAACAATAATTATGTCACACAATGCCACAAGCAGTCGTGATATCAAAATATCCAATTTCGTAAGCAATTTATTATCCTTGATCAAAACAACAATAGTTCCACATTATTTTTCAGGCATTGAAAGTTCAGTACAACAGAAAACTTGAAACAGATAAATCAGTTAACATTTTAATTTCACAATTTATATAAGGTTAAATGCAGAAAATAACTAAGTATGTTTACGGTACATATCATACTCCTCACGTGCAAAAAATACCACTAAAATTTTAAGTTGATGCAAATAGGTCACTCTGACAAAATTCAACCCTAAATTAACCAAATTACCTTACTGAACTATTTTATAAAATATATAAAATAAATAATTTTGTAAAATGATCGAAAATGACACTATTGGAGGATGCCCCTCTCGTGCAAAAATACTCATAAAGTTTCAATCTGATGCAAATAGGTCTCCCTAACAAATTTAAGCCATAAGTTGACTTAATTATCTTTACTAAATCATTTTATAAAATATATAAAAATAAGTAATTTTATAAAATGACACTATTGGAGGACGCCGAAAATGGACAAGTAAATATAAAAATATAAAATAAAAAGAAAAGTAAAAATAAAAATAGAAAATAAAAAACAAAAAACAAAAATAAAGTGCAAACTAAAAAAACAAAAATTTCCAAACTCCGAAAATTAGTGCTCGCTGATATTGGAATTTTTGTTTGTTTGTTTGTTTGTTTAACAGCGTTAGTAGGAAAAAAAAATAAAATAAAGAAAAAAAATTTAATAGAAAAGAGTAAACTGGAATATCAAAAAATTTAAATCCTTATTCTACAAATTCTGAAAGTTAAAAAAAAAAAAAAAAAAAAAAAAATGCTTAGATATATATATAGAGAAAAAAGTTTCAAAAATAATATATATATATATTAGGTAATGTGAACATAACTTCCCTATACTATGAGATTAGTAGCATGTATACCTCCTTGGGCATTTTCGAAAGACTAAAACGGTAAAATGGGTATTACAATATTAATTTATGTTAGAGGGGGTATTTTTGCACAATATAAAAAGATTAGGGGTATTTTTGCACAATGTAAAAAGATTAGGGATGTTTTTTGTATATTTTTTTAAATAAGAATAAAAATACTACGCAAAATATACGTTAAGAGTGTTTTTTGCGTTTATCCCATTTATATATGGCTTAATGTAGAGACCGACGGATCAAATCTGGATAGTACAAAAATTAACATTGAAAGTTGTGATTGGGCTTAGCTCAGTCGGTCGTGTATGGCTCATCAAAGGGCAGTGGCCCAATTTTGCTCCATGTAGATGTACATTTTTTGAATATACATTTTCCAATAACATTTTTTTTTTTTTCATAGTTGATACTCTTACACACATGCCTCCATGGAGGTTTAAATCCTTGACCTCCCTTTGGAAAGTAATGGCCTGATACCGCTAAGCCACTTGCTCGTTGGTTTTTTTTTCCAATAACATATATTTCCATGCATGTTGTAGCTTATTTATTATCATTGGATTAATTTAACCAAGTTGCTGGAATGCGAATTTTGAACTTCAAAACGTGTTCCGACTTCTAACAAATATATATATATATTGTAATTTGTCTTTAAACTATTTTTAATAAATATAGAGTAGATTCTATTTCGACAAGTTCAAAACACATAAATGCGTATTATAGGGATGCACACTGTCCGGTTTGGTCCGATTTGAAGGATTTTCGGAACCAAATCATTCCCTATGGTTCCAGAAAATTTGAAACTGAACCAGACCATTTGAGCAGGGAATCGAACCAGCCCAAACTATGAAAAAACAGTTCCACGGTTCTAGTTGAATTTTATTACTTTTTTTTTGTCCCCTTTAAATTGTATATACAACAAAATTATCAATAAAATCATTCACATTCCCGAATTCAAGACTAAAATAGAGAGAGAAAAAAATAGGGGAAAGTGGGTGAAATAGATCCAAAAACTAAATCCTAGAATTAAAATAAGGTTAAATCTTACTAAAACTGAAATGCATGACAAATCCGTAGTTGAAAACTAAGAAACTTGATTCGTTGTTGTTGTTGCTTGTGATTGAGGTACAAACACACTGTGAGACTTAGAGAACTGTGAACTGGAAGTGAGAGAGAAGGGGAGAGAGTGTGAGGAAGAGAATGTCACCGATGACAGCGATAAAAGATCGACGGCAATGACCAAACTTTAAAGGTTGCTTGAGAGAGATTGATCAACGACTGGATCCCACGGTGATGAGAACTAAGAAGTGAATGAGGTGGCGTGGGCAAAGAAAAACAATGAGATAATGGAAGAATGTTGGTATGCACCCAAAAATAAAAACATTGGGAAAAACAAAAGCAAAAAAAAAAAAAAAAAAAAAAAATCAGATAATAATAAATGTTAGCTCCCGTTTGATTGTTGTGCCGAAATCTCTTCCAAAGTTAAGAGTAGTATATAAGTGTGTGTGTGTATAATATAACATATATTCGTATACATATTATAACG